TGTCGAATAATCCCCGAGACGAAGTCTCGGGGATTATTCGACGATATTCACCTCGCCTTCGGCGAATAATTGTTAAATATATATAATGTTACTAAATAAATGTTACTATAATATTACAACAATTTAATGTAGGCTTTGTAACTGAAAAACCCAGCTTGGGAGTTGCAATAAACGTATGTATGTATGTATGTATCTATTTTTGTCCTCGATCACTTATTATTATTTTACGTTTCGCTGTTGTAATTATATAAGGATACTCTTAATTCTGATTATGGCTTCGGTTCTTCTTAGGTCTTAGGTCTTTATTATTTTTAAGAAAAATACATGCTAAAACAAGAAAATTTACATAAAAATAATTACATGGCTATCAACATTACATATTACAAGACATTACATTAGATAGCTACTCTATATTTAAAAAAGGACCTGTTAAAAAAAATATATTTTTAAAACGCTGGGTATTAACCTAGGGAGTTGATTACTAAGAACTCGAAGGCGCTCTGAGCTTTCTTTCATTTTAGAGATAGAAGGGTACTGAGGGTGACCAGGCATACTAGCGATCTTCTTGAATAGTAAGCGATCAACCTCTTCTAATACACCATATGTATCAATTTGGTACGAAATATATTTGCGTTTAAAGCAGCGCTGTTCCTTCACTCCCCTCAGGTTGTCGAAACGTCAGTTGTCACGATCGTCGACAATCCTTTTCATGACGGCTCTCACGTTCGATTAAACCACATGGACTGTAACTGCTATCTTCAGGTCATTTACGGTACGACATTAATCACTAATGCACGTTTCTACTGCGCATGCCATTCCATCTCACATAGGTATTCCAAAATAATCCAAACGAACTTCAAATTCTCAAAGCAACTATGAGCATGATAGGAAGTGGAAAATTTCAGATAACATTCCTATTTTTCTTAATGTGTGTACATGTGTGTGTGTGTGAGGAGGGGGGGGGAGGGGGAGCGTGGATGGGTATGGAAACGATATGTTATTCAGAATAATTGCCTTACTACTCGAAGACGACAATACAGCGGTAATGAAAATAGATGAAAATAGACATAATATCATTGTCAATATCTGTGTGTTCAGAAGTTTAGTTAGACGTAAATAAACTTTTCCGCAGTTGTCAAAACATTCACGTCAACCAGGATATCTGCTTAGCAATCTGGCGGTTTTTTCCAGACATTTTCTTCCGAGTCTGTCTGATCGAAAGGCAATAAAAGGCGCTGTTTGAAGCTAATTGTTTGCAGACGAAAAAGGCGTCCTCGTGATGAACAGACTGTTTCTTTTAGCGTTGGTCGGCTTTATCCTGGCCATAGGATTTGCCCTGCAAGATGGAGAGATATCAAATAGCACCGAAATCGAAAAAGGTGCAACTGACTTGAAATCAGCAGGTGCTGAGAGGTAAGAGAAAGAGATTAACCCTAAATAATTTACTTATCATCCAACTGCTGCTTATTGACAGTTCCCGGTATAAATTAAAGAAACCTCGCATGGATGCAAAATTCTATTTTAAAAAACTCTCCTTGTCATAGAAAAA